GCGCCGGCGTTTACATGCGCTCGTGGAGATAATCACGAATCTAAATGGTGAATCAAAACATTCAGATTCCAATCTTGAATCCAAAATTGAGAGCTAAATTCAATCATTGATTGGCGATTCCCGATTGGTGCGAGAGAGTCACGTGAGTCGCAGTCTGACTTGCGCGGTGCTCGGCACACCTTCAAAGTTTACATTCAAAATTGCGATCCAAAATTCAAAGTTTTTCATTTCTCATTTTCACTGGTTGGTCAACACCACGACTTTTGCCCATTGTGTTCGTCCCGTTCGAAGCTCAATCGCGCCGTGCGCACATCCATCGCTCCTTGCTTAAACGACATCCCCCTTCGCATTCTTCTCTTGCTCCTGGGCGTCTTGCTAGCCGAGCCAGCCGGCAAAGAAATGTCGCCCAGTGCCACTCGCAATCTCAATGCGGGAGCGGTGCCCGCTACAATCTTGGAGGATGCAGCGCTCAACGCTTGCATAGATGCGCTGCTCCCTCGCACTTACAGCTTTGAGATCCACAAGACGATCCATCAGATCAGGTTCTACCGCTGCAGCATGGTAGCTCTGCAGATGCCCGAGGGCTTGACACTCTGGTCAACTGCTATTTGCGACATCATCGAGAGGTGAGCTGGCGGCTGGGCAGGCCCGGGATGACGGGCTGGCGAGCGCGACGGTTCTTGCGTACTGAAGAGCACGACGATATCGCGCACAGATTTACAGAGGCTGGAACGCTCATCATGGGCGATGTCACCTATGGAGCATGCTGCGTCGACGATTACACTGCAAGGGCTTTAGGCGCCGATCTGCTGATCCACTATGGCCACAGCTGCCTAGGTGAGTAGACCGCACATGCTGGCATCTCAGCTCCCTGTTTTGAGTTTGGGATATTTTTCTTTGCCACCTTTGCTAAAGCGCCGCATTTCAATCGATCGTTCGATCGGTCGCACGCTTGCGCGCCTCGCAGTCCCGGTCGATCAGACCTCGATCAGGACGCTATACGTCTTTGTGGAGATTGCCATCGATGCCGCTCATCTAGCATCAACAGTACGGGCCAACTTTCCCTCGTCACGCGAAGAGTTTCGCAGGAGAATCTTGTCGGATAAAATCCAATCCGACCCTTCTGCTGCAACGAGCTCGCGAAGCGTCAGGCATGTAGATGTGCAACTGGAAGCGGAAGGGTCTGCTCGAGAGGAGGACGCGAAGCTCAAGATTGCCATGGTCGGGACTGTTCAATTCATTGCAGCGTTGCAGGGTCTCAAAGAAGACTTGGAAGAGCCTTGGCCAACAGAGGATTTCGCACAGGGCAGCACGCCTAGGCTAGCAATCGAGGGAAGCACTTCTGCACATCAGCAAGACTCTTCGTCTTCCTCATCAATTGCCCCATCCACATCCATCAACTCGTACCCCAGTCCACCAAGGTACGACAGGGGCGCATACGCACCGCTTATTCCTCAAATCAGGCCCCTCTCTCCAGGCGAGATTCTGGGATGCACATCACCTGTACTCCCCGCCGATACAGATCTGGTACTCTACGTAGGGGACGGCCGCTTTCATCTGGAAAGTGTCATGATTGCCAATCCAAGGATTCCCGCATTCAGGTTCGACCCGTACGATAGGGTCTTTGTCAGGGAATTCTACGACCACGAGAGAATGCGAAAGGATAGGAGCGATGCGGTCAAGATGGCTAGGGCTGGTACTGCTACCGTTTCTGCTTCGAGACGGAAGGCAGAAGCGCCATCGATTCAACTTGGCGGAGAGAGCGACACGGTCCAAGCCGCTACGCAAGTGGTACAGCAGCCCAAGGCTGCTGGTTGGGGTGTGATTCTAGGCACGCTAGGCCGACAAGGCTCCCTCTCCGTCCTATCCAACATCTCCACCATCCTTTCGCAGAGCTCTCGTTGCATCCCAGTAGTTCCCATCCTCCTCTCGGAACTCTCGCCCGCCAAATTGGCCCTCTTTGGGCCTCACTTGGACGCTTTCGTTCAGAGCTCTTGTCCTCGGTTGTCCATAGATTGGGGCAGCGCTTTTGAGAAACCTCTGTTGAGCCCTTATGAGGCTGCGGTGGCTGTGGACAAGACGAGGGGATGGGATGAGATCAGGGGAGAAGGTGTGGGTATGGTGGGAGCTGAGAAAGCTAGTCGAGCAGTCCAAGAAGTGCGTGTTCCGTCTTTGGCGCCACCGAATCAAGGGGCCCATGCAATAGACAGCGAGGAGAGAGAGGCAAGCGAAAATAATCGTGATGGGACAGAAGGACTCAGATCAGGCTCGGAAGCGGATTACCCCATGGACTTTTATGCGGACGATTCTAGAGGCCCTTGGACGCCTAGGCATGGAATGGCAGTCAAGAAGAGGTCGACGGCGCAAAAAGGAGGCTTGAGCAACAAGGCTTTGCTAAGGAAAGCTGCTGCTGCGCGAGCTCAAGCACAAGCTCAAACACAGACGCAGACGCAGACACGGACATCTCCCTCCAACCAGGCGGTTTGAACTTTCGATCTTGTTTCTCCTAGGCCACCCAGTCACGCTCGATAATGCACGCGTCTCCCTCATTTGTAGCATAGCTCAAACACATGCATTTGTAATGATGGCCCACGGAACGATTGCGTGTCGAGGGCACCTCTGACGAAAAGATGTGCCTCGCATTGGTGGACATTCGACAATTTGCTGTTGATGAGGCGCGGTCGGTTAGACATAGCTCTGTCGAACAACTTGATGCTGAACTTTGTATTCATTCTGACCGCTTGAAGACGTGCGGCTCGGGCCTTGATCATGATTGCACATCTTTTTCAAGACCTTCTCGATTTGGCATCGAGCAAAGCGTGAATGTCGGCATTGTCATGAGCAAAGTCGGCTGATGAAGGGTGCAGGGTATGGGATGGGGGGAATGCGAGCAGTAAGCAAAGGGATCATTCGCAAAGAAAGCCATGGCCAACGCATGGCATACGGCCAGCGCTGGGTGATCAGTCTTGGAGGTTGCACTCACTGGGCAAGAAGTCGCTAGGCTCCAACGTCTCGTCGTCGCCGTTGAGAATGTCCAATTGCATAGCTGCTAGACCTTTGTGCGTGCCGGCGTGAGAAGCGTGCATGTTTGGAAAGGGACCGTCCTGCGAAGTGGCGCCAAGCATGTGGGGGGGAGGATTGAAATCAGCATCGGGATCGCATCCACTTTTGCGTGTGCGTAGCTATCATCCACACCACTCAGAGCAAGCCTCCAGCCGGTAATCACGTCGCATCTTTCGATGATGCAATCGCACATCAGAAACGCAGCTCACCTTGACGACGCAACCCCTCTCTAGCATGGTACGCATGGGAGCGCCCAATCCATAAGTGTTCCTCATCAAGTTCAATTTCAACTGATCCCTCGTCCCATTCCACTGTTCCAATCTGGACTCCAAGGGATGGTGAGCTGCGTGCGAATTCTCGTGAGAAAGACTTCGCGGACCATGGCGCATGGCATCGTGAGCTCCTGCGTGCACAGAGTGCGAAGTCTTTTCGAGAGAGACGCTGGAGGAGGTGCTAGGACCTGGGACTAGACGCATCGATTGGGAAGACATCTTTGAGCAGAAATGCCTGTTCGAGGCTAGCGAGCTTGCTTGCTTGACGTCGCAATGCTGTTGCCAGTGGTGAGTGTGCGTGAATTTTGACAGTGGGTGCGTGCAGTCAGGGGTGAGTGTGCAAGCTGCAATGGCAAATGGCATGGTCATCCACAATGACACTCACGATTGCTTGCGTGCTGCTTGTACGCGCACGCACACGCACACGCGCACGCACAACAGGCTTGCGACGCGCCTTTCTCTGTCCGTGCACTGCACCCCGTAAAGGTGGTCTTCTCGTACGAGAAATCGCGCCGGGAGAGATCCATGAATTTTTCTCGACTTCGACACTCAGCGCATCTTGGATGTCCGCGTCTACGAAGTTCTTGCCGCAACTTCACACCCGCCTGACCTTTACTCACAGTCGCTTTGTGATTCGCTTTCAAAGCTGGTCAAGTTACCGGTCAAAAGTCTGGACTGTCAAGGCAAGCTGCTGACTACGCAAGAGCAGGTTGAACTTCAAGTCTGGCGAGAATGGCAGCCTCATCTTCGACATCGGCCCAATTGCCGCTGCATCAACACGTCGACACTGCCCTGCTGCTTTGCGTCGACTCGTCTGCCATTCCCACATCCTTGACAGCAGCATCCAAAGAGGCGCGCGAAGAGCTGCTGCGTAGCAGAGCGACGATCTCCACGCAAGCCTTGATCTCTGCTCTATGGGCCATCCCATCCAAGCAGCATCCCGATCACGGACGGATAGCCCTGTTGCCTGCTCCACTGTCCGTCGGCTCAGGCGGCACTCCTCTACCTCGCGAAAAACCTTTACCAGCGAAGAAGGTCGAGACGAAATGGGAAGCATTCGCGAAGCGCAAAGGAATCGATGGGAACAAGAAGAGGGACAAATTGGTTTGGGATGATGAGAGGAAAGAGTGGGTACCCAGATGGGGCTTCAAGGGGAAGAACAAGGATGCGGAAGATCAGTGGATACACGAACTACCTCAAAATGTCTCGGACGATCATGATCCTGCAAAGGAAGCTCGAGCGGAACGCAAAGCTAGAAAATTGTCCAACGATGCGAAACATGCAAAGAATTTGGCCAGAGCGACAGGAGCTGCTCTCAGCACCTCTGCTGCTGCCAAGAGAGCTGCGGACCAGGAGAAAGCGAATGCAGGATTAGGCGGCGGTCCTCAGTCTGCTGCGGCGGAGAAGGCGACAAAGAGGAAAGCGGAGAGGGAATTGAGAAAGGGGCAATTGGATGCGGATGTCAAGAGGGCAAAGGTCAGCACCGCTAGCATGGGCAAGTACGACAAGCAGCTCAAAGGCGAGAGCAAAGAGAAGGGTCTCAGGAGGCAGGTGAGTTTAGATGGTCAGGCTCGAGTGTCGCAAATGCGTCCCCTCATCGCATCTGTCTCGTCTACTTGGCATGCATCACTCACCCAATCCCTTGTCCCTGCTCCTCTCTGCATGCTTCCATTCGTCCAACTTTTGCAGTTCGCACCAAACGAGCAAGACACTTCCTCCGAACGAGTTTCGCAGCTCGCGCTCATCTCCGGCTTGTCAAAGGGAGGTGCGCCAGTACGCTCGAAGCCAAATGCCAAGGGACAAGGAGATGCGGATCTGGTCAATGCTCGCAAGGCCGTACGTTTCGAGAGCGGTGGGAGAGGAAGCTCTGCATTGGCGAGCAAGGGTGCATCGAGTCGAGGAGGTAGGGGAGGTAAAGCTTCTAGAGGAGGCAAGAGGTCAAAGTGAGCCAGCGCCCTCATGCTGGATTGATTTCTCTTTCCGTGCCGGTCTCGACGTGACACGGTTGTCTAGCAGCTTTGCGCGTCAGGAACTCGTCGCGCTCAGCGCCTTGCCCTCGTCGCGCACCCCATCATCGCGCTTTCCCACACACCGATACGTTTCCACGCTCACGTACACCTTGCACACACACATCCAATCCCGCACACGATCTTTTTCAATGCCATGATTTCACCTTCAGAAGAAGGCACTGCAGCCGCCCGAGTTGCACTTCCAAGTCCCTTCATTTGATTTCCACCGTACAGCAGCCGTACACGATAGGACTGGACGTGCCAAGGCAGGGCACGCAGTCCAACTAGCGCACATCCAAAAGAGCCACAATTCTCGACTCGCTTACAGAGCGAATAAACCCAAATCAGGAAATGGGAAGCGAGGCATATAAAGTCGAATGCGCGGGGGGGCGTGGAGGGAATGAACGCGCTGGGCCGACTTGCGTCGACTAGACGGCTCGAGGTGTGAAGCGCAGAAAGTTTTTTGAAGCAAAATGTGAAAGAAGGGATCCAATCAAGAAGGGGGGCCGCTAGCTCAAGCGTATCCGAGGTAGAGCAGCAGTAACTCCGAAAGGAGCAAAATGCAAGCAGAAGAGCCGCTATTGCGCCCTGCCCTTGCGGCCTCTCGCTCAAGGAACACAATCAAGCGCTGGTGCCCTCGTTGTACTCTTTCAGGGCGCGGTTGTACTGCTCCTTGTTCTTGGCAAACTGCTCTTCATACGGCTGTGAACATCGCCCCGCAAAGTGTCAGCACCAAGCGACATGCGGCAAGGCTTGGGAACACGCCGAACTTTACACGCGGCGCGCTCGCACACTCACCCCCTTTTCGGCCTCGCTCAGGGCCTGATATGCGCGGCTCTGCTCCCGAACCCACTCGGCCTGTCTCATCCCAGCTGGCTTCTGCTCTCCCTCCTCTCTGTTGAGGTAGAGCCAGAAGGGTATGGGTGGCTTTTTGGGTTTAAGAGGGTCTACAAGGTTGATGATGCGCTTGGGTCTGGTTTTCAAAGTGCGCCGATGTCTGTTGAAAGCGTTTTGACGCTCAATGTCTTCCCTCGTCAAGCTGCTCTTCCACTTCTTGTAATCTGTTGGACACGGCGCGAAAGAAGAGTGAGTGATGTGTGCTCGCGCATGCAGGCGCTTTCATGTGTCTTGAAATGCGCACCAGCTTCATACTGAGCCAAGGCGGACTCGAACTTGTCGTTCCATTGCTGCTTGTCCGCCTCTGACATGGCCTTCCACTCTTCACCCACGGCTCCGCTAATCTTTTGCGCATCAACACCGCGCGTACCATCCTTTTTCGTCAAGGAATATTCAGGCTTGGCCCGAAGGATGGGGAAACGAGCAGCAGCGAACATGACAAAGACGGAAGGTTTTTTGGGTCGAAGCGTATAAGGCAGAGGCACTAGAGAGAGTGGGAGCAAAGGTGGCGGTGTGAGGTGTCAGCGTGTGAGTTGCTCTTTGCAAGCATTCACCTGGCGATGTTGGCTCATCGCCGAGATGCTTGAGCCAGAGGGCAGCGTCTCATCACATCGACAAGCGCTACTTCTGTTCTTGGTGCAGAAGTCCCGTCGCAGCCTGCATTCTAGGTGCGCACCCCAGTCCTGTTCCTTCAACTCACCATTCTTGCCGTTCGCATCCTGCTTAATCCAAGGTCGATCCTCCTCCTTCTTCTTCTTATCTGCCGATACTGATGCCGTCTTCTTATTGTTCTTCTTTGTTCCACTAGCTTTGGCTCCCTCATCCTTCTTCGTAGCCGTGTTCTTCTTCGTATTGGCGGTGGCAGACTTCCGAGACTTGGTCGCAGTGCTGGAAGACTTGGCAGCGGCCTGAGATAAGACGGGCGTGGCGACGGTGCGTCGAGCCGCTGACAAGCTCAAATTGCGCACTTGCGATACCAGCGAGGTCGCACTCGAACGAGCCACCGCTCGCGGTAGCAGACGAGCGCCGACGAAGAGCATCGTGGCAGCGAAGCTGCGTGTGTCAAGATTTACGTGCACTTAATAACGAGCGCTGCTCGAGCCGAGGCGTGGTGGAGAGATTGAGGCGATCCAACAAGGTCCAGCAGACGCCTTTTATCTCGATCCTAGTAGGTTGACCTGGGACTTGCGACCGCGTACTGCCAGGCTAAGCGCAACGCAAGCTATCGTCTGCTCGTCTCTCGGTGATGATGGTGAGATGGAGAGAGGAATCGCGCCGCCCTAGAACAAAGGAGGCAAGACTGACCTGTCCAGATAGCGATCGCGATCGCGATGAGGGAGTGGCAGGTGATGGGTCAGGGCAGTGCGTCTGCGAAGAGCGTTGGAGTATGAATTGCAGACATGAAGCGTGATGTGATGATGATGTGCGTGTGCACAGCGCCAGCGTCGGGGAATTACCGGTATACGAACTCGCTCGTGACTGATGAATCATGAATCGTCGTCGCGCCTGCTGCTGCTGCACATTCATCGCGCGCGCGTGTGTTTGGTCGCTCTCTACACGTGATCACAAGTGAGCTATGAGGAAGGGATCGTCTGCTGGTTTTGCCAGATGAAGGTCAGATCGGACTAGAGATGAGGTTCTAGATGTCGTATTCGGGGGAGATTGACTCCCAAGCATGGGGGTTTTTATAGACGAGCGGTGATGCTCTACATGTGTATGGCATAGTATATGGTAT